GGCAATGTACTTAATATACTGAACTGTAGACTTAGAAATGGTTAAGATGGTAAATTTTTTTTGCCCCGCTTTAATTCCTCCTCCCCCTCACTTCCAACCCTGACCCATGGATGTTGCCGTTTCCCCTTAAGAACCGGATCTCTGAAGGCGGGGTGTCTCCTCCCACATGCTCGTGAGCATGCACCCGGGGCCTCACGCCCCCTGGGCCTGGCGCACCCTCGTGTGGTCCTTGGCTCCACCTGGGGCACGGACCCAAGACCTTCTGCATGTAAAGCAGATGTGCTAACTACTACGCTATGGAGCCACCCCTAGATGGTAAATTTTATATTGTATTTTTGCCACACACACAAAAAAAAAAGTTAATGATAAAGATTATTTTCATTAAAAAAAAAGCAAAAGATGATTGAGGATTTTTACCAGAAGAAGGGGTCTGGAATACAGTTATTTAAGTGACTGACATACAAAAGAAACAATATATGATAGTCATATCATGCTTAGTATTTAAATCTCTGGTGGGACAAAGTAGTAGTAAAATTTATCGCTCTGTTTTTGTTTGTTCGTTTTGAGAATCTGCTGTGACTTGTGTTTTATACTAGTAAACTGGATGATCAGTGACTCCCTTTCTTGGCAAAAAAAGAAAAAGAAAAGAAAACAAATGTATATTAGGTAGCATAAAGCTGAAAGTTATAACAAAGACAAATATAATTTTTAGAATGATTTCTTTCCTATAAGCAGTTCTTAAGAGCAGGTCTACAGGAAGCCTGACTGTGTATTCACTCCGCCATTTTTCCTTTGTCATTGCTGCACTATCCTTTACGATATTGTTGATCTGCGTGGTTGACTGTGTATTGCATCCCCAGCCAGGTTTTACTGGGCAGAAAAGGCAAGCGGAGGGTATTGAGAAGCCGTGGTTTACCACCCTGGCCCAGAAGCAGTATATAATGTTGTATGCACATTCCATCAGCAAAAATGGTCTCACTTTCACATTTCTTTGCAAAGGAAATTGTGACCGTTACGTAGTTCGGCAGCCATGTACCTGGCCACAGGTAACTTCTGGAGAAGAAAGGTGAAACGTTCTAAGGGACAGTTTGCTTGCTCAGTCTTCCAGGGTACCTTTCTTGGGACATACATGTATTGCTAGGCTCAAGAAAACAAATTTCAGTTTCATGGAGAGTTGAGTATGGGCATAGGTATTCTTTCACTGCTTGGCTCTGTCAAGATTGACACTTCGACAGTTTTTTAGAGGACATATAGGGCTGATGGATTTGGTATTATTTCTAAGAAGTGGAAGGAAGCTGGGAGATTAGTTACAATTTAGATCTGAAAGCTAATGAAGATGACCTTCAAAGTAAAGCAGCCAGATATTTTTACCAGTAAAAATTGGTTTATTCGGGAATAGCAGAGAATTGCAATTCAGAACAAGCCTGCTATGGCAAAAAACTATAGGCAAGTCCAGCAAACAAAGGAGAGGAATCTTACTCAATAAAGAAAAAGGAGGTAGTTGGGAGACGGTGCTTTGATCAAAGGTCCATTGGAGGAAAGCAAGAGTTCACGGTGGTGATGGCTTCTCATGAGCTGAATTGAGTGGGTTCCCATTGGCTGGGCTTGTTGCTAGGCAAGAAGAGAACCACCCTTCCTCCTGCTGGGGTAGTGAAGTAGATACACTTCTTGTCAGGAATGCAAAGTACGTTCCTTTCTGTTGGGGTCTGTAATTGATAGTTCTTCCTGTTGGGGTGTGTAATAGATGTCGGGTCGTAGTGTGTGAGAGTGCCTCTTTCTGGCCTTCCTACTCCATTTTAAATGAGGTTTCCTCTGTTCAGTTTCACAAAGACCTATACTGAGCTCCTTAGAGACTTAGCTATTAACAGATGTCATATAACACCCTTGTCTATTTTATCTTTTACCCTGTAGTCATCCCACTAGGTCTGGGTATCTAGACCGCCTACGTAAGTGGAGCCAAGTTACCTTCATTCAAATATGATTTTCCCCACGGATGAGCAAAGTGGTTTGGACCGATTATTCAGCCATTCTGTGCCTCTTTTTCTTCATATATAAAACAAGGATAATGAGTGCAGTTACCTCATAGGTTGTGAGGGTTAAATGAGTTTATGTGTGCATCACATATAACATTGCCTGGCAAATGCTAAGTGCTATATAGATAAGTGCCTGACATTTATTAAGGGCTGTGCGACTGTTTCCCCTCACTGCCAACACCACCACTGTTACGTACTCAACTACTTCCTGTGTCAATCTCAGTCAGCTCCGTATGATTTGTCCTCTATCCTTCTTTAGCTATTCATCATGTCTATTTCATCTTTTTCTCCTTTTAGAAGAGGAGTTTGGGCTTGAAACCCAACAACAAGAAATTTCTGAAATAATTGCATTTCATAATGATGTGACGGGCAAAATCACAAGAGATGGTTCTTGGTGTTCCATTTTAGAAGAACTGTGGAAAGATGCCGACTGTACAGAGAGAGATCAGCACAATCAAAATAAACCTTCATGTCAAAGGGCTTTCCTCAACAAGAAAAAATTGAATACAGAGAAAGATTGTGAGTATAAGGACCCTGGGGAAATCGTTCATATGAAGCCCGACCTTCTTTCTTCACAAAAAAGTCCTCATAAACATTGTTCGTTTGCAAAAAGTTTGAAGCCTAACTTGGGAGTAAATCATCAAAATCAAAGCAATACCACGAAACACCCTGATGAGATTGTTGAATCTGGTCAGCTGTTCATCCATATCTCTTCCAATGCTAGCTGCAAGAATGTCCATACAGGAGAGAACTTCTATGAAGGTAATCAATGTACAAAAGTCTTCAGCCATAAACAGTCACTCGCACAACATCAAACTCATACTCAGGAGAAACCAGATAAATGTACCGAATGTGGGAGGGACTTCACCCAGAAATCACACCTTCTTAGGCAACAGAGATTCCATAGTGTAGAAGACTTCCAGGAATGCAGCAAATGCGGAAAAGCCTCCACCCCACCACCAAAATTCAATGTACATCTGATAGATCATTCAGCTAACATACCTTATATATGTAAGGAATGTGGAAAAGTTTTCATTCAGAGGTCACAATTGCTTACACACCAGAAAACGCACACTAGAAAGAAGCTCCATAAATGCCATGAATGTGGAAAAGCCTTTTTCCAGATGCTTTCTCTCTTCAGGCATCAAAGAACTCATACTAGAGAAAAACTCTACAAATGCAGTGAATGCGGGAAAGGCTTCTCCCAGAATTCGACCCTCATTATACATCAGAAAATTCATACCGGTGAGCGACAGTATGTATGCAACGAATGTGGAAAGGCCTTCACCCAAAAGTCGACGCTCAGCTTGCACCAGAGAATCCACTCAGGGGAGAAGTCTTATGTGTGTATTAAATGTGGGCAGGCCTTCATCCAGAAGGCACACCTGATTGTGCATCAAAGAAGTCACACAGGAGAGAAGCCTTATCGGTGCCGCAGCTGTGGAAAATCCTTCATTTCCAAGTCACAACTCGATATACATCATCGAATTCATACTGGAGAGAAACCTTATGAATGTAGCGACTGTGGAAAAACCTTCACCCAAAAGTCACACCTCAACATACACCAGAAAATTCATACTGGAGAAAGACACCACATATGCCGTGAATGTGGGAAAGCCTTCAACCAGAAGTCAATACTCAGCATGCATCAGAGAATTCACACTGGAGAGAAGCCTTACAAATGCAGTGACTGTGGGAAAGCCTTCACTTCCAAGTCCCAATTCACAGAGCATCAGCGGATTCATACTGGAGAGAAACCCTATGTATGCACTGAATGTGGGAAGGCGTTCAACGGTAGGTCAAATTTCCACAAACATCAGATGACTCACACTAGAGAGAGAACTTTTGCCTGTTACACATGTGGGAATGCCTTCATCCAGAAATCAGAGTTGATGATACATCAGAGGACTCATATTGGAGGGAAATCTTATGAATGCTGTGACTGCGGGAAATCCTTCAGTAAGAAACCACAACTCAAAGTGCATCAACGAATTCACACAGGAGAGAGACCCTATGTTTGTTCTAAATGTGGGAAGGCCTTCAACAACAGATCAAATTTTAATAAACACCAAACAACTCATACCAAAGACAAATCTTAAAAAAGCAGTTATTCTCAGAAAGGCTTTACCTAGAAATCAATACTTAGTATGCATTTACATTTCCATAAATCAAAGTCTCTGAATTTCTTGAAAAAGTCTCATAAGTTATTTAATTGTATGTTAAAACTTCATGCTTCAGAAAAACTGTAGAAAAGTATTGCATATCCCAAAGTTTCACACTTTATGTGAGGGAAATTACTCAGAAAAGAAACAAGAATGGAACCGTCCATATTTGTACTACTTTCATTAAAGATTATAAAATTCATCTGGGCAAGAAATCCTGGTAAAAGTACTGAGAAAAGTGTTTCTATAGAAAGTGGTTCAAAACAGATTGTTACCAGATTTATGGGCAAGTTTATAGGAAATTATATTAATAACCCTGTTTAATGTGGAATATCAATGTTTTTAAAGTGCCAGCAAACTGAATGACTGCAAAATATTATGTATATTTATATATGTACGTATATGTGGTCAGATTAACATATATACATATACACGCAAACCCTCAGTTCTGTAGAGTTTGCCACAGAATCCACTGCATAATAGGAGGCATGGATAGGTTACTTTTTAAAAGAATAATCTAATTGTATTTATCAGATTTATTCGCTATTGATATTGATATCCTGAGAATGCAGTCAATAATTAACCGTTTATGTATATAGACACATGAATGTATGTTTTTGGTAAATGCATAAATGTGACTCTATAGTATATACTATACTGGTCTTCATAGTATAGTTTTTCTCTTCGTTCATGATTAGCTTAGCTCTACCCTCCCTTTTTCTTTCCACCTCCACCATCTATGGCGAGCCTCTCCATAAATAATCAGTGTCAACCTTTTAGTTACTATGGATTCTTTCATATTTTTATGCAGGCTCCTAATCCTATACACCAAGAGTCAGCAGACTGTGGCCCTTGGCCAAATCTGGTCAGCCACCTGTTTCATTTTGTTTTTAATAAAGTTTTATTGGAACATTTATATTCATTTCTTTATGTATTGTCTGTGGCTGGTTTGGGGCTCCAATGGCAGAGTTGAGTGATTGTGGCAAAGACCCTGTGGCCTGCAAGCCAAAACTACTCTCTGGCTTTTTGCAGAAGACCATGTGGCCTGCAAGCCAAAACTACTCTGGCTTTTTGCCAACAACTGTTATCCACACATACTCTTTACTATGCTCATAATCATACACCTGGGTAAAAACTCCTTCCTCTTTGTTTTGTAAATATAGAATCATCGTACATTGTGCACCTTGTTCTCACGCTACGATACAGCTGTTCGACGGCTGCATGGTATATGCACGTGCTGCAATTTATTCAGCCATCCTTTCATGTTTTTTATTCATTCTTTTCCCCGCCTTTTTTTTTTTTTTTGCTACAAGAAGCAGACTGATATAATCTTTAAGTGGACAGGACCAGGAGTCAGTTTCTCGTATTTGATTCTACGCCATTTGGGCAAGTTATTTAACTCATCTGTCCTGGTTTTCAAAAGGAAGATTATAATAGTGCCTACTCCCATGAATTTGCATGAGAAGTAAAAGTATGTTAAGCACTTGGAACAGCGTGAAGAGAACCAGTGCTTGGTGAATATGAGTGGGACCCCGAATGAATGGAAATGAAAGGATGGGGATTAGGGCCGGCAGAGAAGAAACAAGTAAAATAAACTCTCCTTTAATAAGAAACCGGGTGGGAGGGCTGCCCTGCAACCCTAGTCTCTAGGATTTCAGTCCAGCCTCCAGATACCCATCAACTCAGCACTGGGCGCTCCCAAGGCTGGCGAGTTGATGTCCACGATGAGGCTGGTGTAGAGGGGCTGCAGCCCCTTGGAGAGCAGGGGCTCCACCATCACCATTACCATCACCACTGTCACCAGCAGCGTCTTAATTATAAGAGTCACTACCAGAATCATCACCTTCGAAACCAATCATCACCATCATTATCATCACAATCACCCATCGTCATCACATCACTTATTGAGCACCTACTATGTGCCAGGTATTGGCCTCACTGCTTTACATTCATTAAATTAATTTTTCCCACAACCCAGTGATGGAGGTGTTGTTATCATCCCTGTCTCATGAATGAGAAAACCATGGCACAGAGGATAAGCTGTTCTCGAACTTATACATAGTTACTCTGAGTAACAGTGTTGGATGGATGGATGGATTAGTGACTGTTCCAACACTCAGACCACACAGAGGGGCAAGGCCGAGATTCAAACAAGCATCTAACTGACCCCAAACTCCTTTAATTTACCCCTTAGCTTTATCGCCCCCAGTCACAGACAGGCCCAGACTCAGTGAGACTGGGCCTGTCCTTCAGGGTCATTCGAGCTGACCCTAGATCAGCCAGTCTAGCACACGCCTATAGCCCTTGACTCTAATTCCCTCCAACTCCAGTTCTTCTTGACTCATAAATCCAGCCCTCCGGATACTCTGGCCAGACACTCTCAGCTCAGAGAGTGATAACTTCAGCCAAGACTGTCCGAGACCATGCTCGGAGCCCTGTGCCCTCTTGCCCTTGCCCTTCCCCGTCGCTGCCACACCTGGTTCGCCACATAGACAGCATAGTGCAGTTGCCAGCGCTGCAGGAAGGGATGCAGGGGAAAGAGCAGGTGCTGCCGAGTTGGGCTTGTCCAGAGCAGGGCACCGCTGCTGCTGCGTGGTGCCGTGTCCAGCGGTCAGGTGGCTGGGATTGGCCTCCCAGCTCCACAGTGGCTTCTTTTCCACCCCACCGCTCCATCGTCAGGTTCTTTGGGATCATTATCTTCAAGGGGCCACCCGAGAGAAGTAGAGGCCAGAGACAATCTGGGGCCTACCTCAGAAACTCCATGACCCAGCTGTACTGGGTCGAATCATGACACCTCCCCCACCCCAATTCGTGTCCACCCAGCACTTCGGAATGAACCTTATTTGAAAATAGAGTCTTTGCAGACGTCATAGGTTACAATGCAGTCTTACTGGATTAGAGTGGGCCTAAAACCAATGACCGCTGTTCTAAAAAGAAGGCCGTGTGACGCCCCAGAGAGAAAGCGCCCACAGGGGCGTAAAGTGAAGTGATGTGCCAACAAGCCAAGAACGCCGAGGGTTGCTGGCAACCACCAGAAGCCAGGAGACAGGCATAGGGTGGTTTCTCCCTCAGAACGTCCAGGAGGGACCAACTCTGCCCACACCTTGATTTTGGCCTTCTGGCCTCCGTGAAAGGATTTCTATTGTCTTAAACCACCCAACTCGTGGTACTTTATCAAGGCAGCTCTGGGAACTCAAACGCCAGCACGAAGGGCTCCGAGCAGCCCCAGGTGACTCAAAAATGCTGTCCTGGTTTCCCCTCCACCTCTGATTCTGCCTGCGTCTCTCCTCTGGCTCCCATTTTGTTTCTTCCTCCCCCCTCCTACCCCCTACCCCCCCAGCGAGCTCATCACCTCCTGGCACTTTTCTTCCGATGGACTCCAAGTCCTGCCTCTGCCTCCTGAGCGCCAGTCCTAACCTCCCTCCCACAGGTCTCCTCCTGGACGGTTCTCAGGCCACCCACTCTCCCTACGTCTCGGAATACCCTCCTGCTCAGTTCCCACTGTCACTGAGGGCTCCGCTGTCCCCGCTCACCTCTGGCTGTGCCTCCTTTCCTTCTGCGGCAGACTATATTTTTTGTAAAAATGCCCGCAGTGTCTTATCCAACAGGCCCTTCTTACAAGGTGACTATGACACTCCTCCTGTGGAGAGGTGAGCCTGTGTTCCTGCCCCATAAAATCGGGTAGACCTTTATGGCTATTTCAGTGAATGGAGTGTGGCAGAAGTGATACTAAGTGGCTCTTGAGGCTCCATCAGAAAAGGCCACTCGGCTTCTACGTTGAAGCCGTCAGCTGCCACGTAAGCTCTAGGCCACCATGCTGTGAAGAAGCCCAAACTAGTCCACTGCAGAGACATCACAGAGAGGCCTTGAGGTCACAGGAGATGGAGGTGCCTGGCCAGCTCCTGCCACATCTCATTGTAACTGCTTGAAAAACCTGGACCACTGCCCAGCTAAGCCCTTCCTCGAATTCCTGACGCACATAAACTCTGAGAGTTAACGACTGTTTAAAGACACTCAATTTAGGGGTGATGTGTAATGATGCAGCAATAGGTAATGGGCACTGTCTCCATCGCCACCAGCCAGGCCCGCTGCCTCCTGCTTCGATTCTGGCCCCTCCACGGGGCTTCCCACCAACTCTTCAAAGCCGAGGGGCTGGACGCATCGGAGGCCCCTACAAGCTTACTGATGCAGGGCGAGGTGACAGCGTCAGATCCTCACTGACATCCTCCTCACTGACATCCACAGGCTGGATCTAGCTGACGCTGGAGCGCACGGCCTGCTGGGGATCCCTGGGGAGGAGACCTGGGCCGCGGAAGGCAGCTCGTCTTCCACCTCAGGACGTGAAGCCACGGTGGTACTAGTTTTGGTAGAAGAATAACCCCACAAGCAGTTATACCCCCAGAAATAATAACAGGAGCCCCCTCTGCTGTTCCATTCTGGGAGAAAAACCAGAAGGTTACTCCTCCCATTTTACAAGCCTCTCATTTTTGCCCCATCCCCGCACCCCCGGGCTCTCTTCCATGGCTTTGCACACACACAGGGGAGAGCTCCCTTTTCTAGACTGCCTCCTCCTTGTGCTGGGACAGGAAAGGCTGCTGCTATCAAAAGCGTGGTTTGTCCCCTGGAGAGCTCAGTAAAAACATGGCCCTTCTGACTCCACAGGAAACGTGACAGAGGCATTTTAGTATCTGAGGGTTTTGCAGATGTCACAAATGATTTTTTTTCCTTATTCCTCATTTTGTAATTCATATTGCAATGATAAGGATTAGGACGTAAGACAGAGCTACCGTATTTCGGGCTCTTGGAAAAAATTATGAACAGTGATCTTTCTAAAAAAGAATTTGGCAGCAAGAATCATGTCACCAGGTGCGGAAGCATAAGGATGTATTCTTGTTAACGCCTAAACACACACGCACACACGCGCGTGCGCGCGTGCGCACGCACACACACACACACACACTAGACTACATCACAACTGTTGAACCAAATACAATAAAATCAACCTATATTTTTTTTGTTTCCCAAAGATACATAAGATGTCAAGAAAAAAAATCTGATGTCCTAAACTAGCAGCAAATCTCACGCGTGTTTCGAGACTTGAGTCAGCAGAGCATACATCCACGTTTTCCAAGTGATGTGGTAGTTTCGTTTCATATTTTCATTTGTAGAAAGCAACTTGCCTGGCTGCCGTGGATGTGCTTATCCATCTTGTAGGAGCCCGCCTGGTCCAGAAGGTCCCGGCGGGTCTCCTTTCCTCCCTGGCAGGTCCCAGCTCTGTTTTCTGAGTTAGGCTGAGGGAATCAATGGTCAGAGGGTGGGATGCCTAGTGCTCTCTCTACCCAGGTTTATCAGGCCCCACTTTTCAATGAAAAGGGAGAGGCTGAGGCAGAGGGGACCTTTGGCTGACTTAAGTCACATATTATGTTCTCTCCAAGGCCCACGCTTTCCAGGAAAGACACTGCAGACAGGGAAGGCGTGGAAACCGAACCACCCGGGAGCCCCTCCTCCCACCTAAGCTCCACCATTAGAAATCTGTTTCTTCTCTCAGAATGAAACCAACTTTTTCCATCAGGAGGTCTTTCTGGTTGGATCTGTTAGGCTCAGAAATACTTGCCCCAGATCGGGTTGTGCTTTCACTCTAAGGCGGTTCCTAAACTTCCAGACGTCGAGGTCTGAAATGTCTTTTGAGGCAGAGAACCTGTTTCATCTAACGAGGCAGAGGGCTTCCGGGTGTGGTATGTACACAACACGCCCTGCACCGCGCTGTGTATTTCTCTTCCACCCGCTTGGCTCGTGTTGGGATGTTCTGGATTCAGAATGGCCAAAGCATTAGAGCTTAGTAAAGCTGGGTGTGTGTGTGTGTGTGTGTGTGTGTGTGTGTGTGTGTGTGTGTGTGTGTTTTCACTGGAATGTTTT